TGCCCTCGCATTAGCGGAGCTTGCTAGAGTGAAAAGCTTAAATATTGCTAAGTTTTAATATATAGGCATCGCTTTGAATAGGATTCCTCACCTAAATATTTTACAATCACTATAATCTACAATGAAAACCCTTTTGATATTCGTTGTATTATGAGTTACAGTAGGTTCGATTTTTTTATCCACGCAGGGGGAGGGGAAATGACAAATTTTTGAGCAGTATACGAGAAAGTTTAGGGGAGGCTACTCCCACTGGTCTGACTGCAAATCTGTACGCCGCGGCTAAAGCTCACCTAGCAGGAGGGAGGAAACTTAGTACAGTAGAGTCTCCCTATAACGAAATCGCTTGGTTCCAATTGAAAAATTCGTTATAGAGAAAATTTCGTTATACGGAGATTAAAGATTTTTGCCGTTATTTAAGTAAATGTTACAAACCTTTTATTAGGTGCGATAAGTTCAAAAGTATTTAATTATGACTTTCAATTAAAATGAAGTAATATATATTTTAAATTTGTTAAAATTATACGAATTTTTATTGTATAAATAAAATGCTCAAAAGTGAAGACAATTCACCAATTTAGAGAATAATATGTACTAGTATGTATTTACGTTTATTTTACTTGAAAAATTCCGTTATTTTACATTGCTTTGCATTTCGTGATGTTAAATTTTCAGAAAATTTTTCACATTTTAAGAGAGTGGTTCCAGAAACAGACACGTGTGAGCGAATTGGTTGCACAGAAATTATCAACTTTCTTCAAAAATGACAAAAATCGAAAAGATAAACCTCTGAAAAAATTCGTTATAGGGTCATCGTTATATTCGTCATAAGAATTTTCACATTTTACGAGTGAGCTAAAAATAGAATCGGGCACATTTTCTTCCATTTGGAAACCTCTTTTAATGGTTTCGAATGATTGTAGCATTTCAGTCCTATGTGGTTTTGGCTGTATCACGTCTTCATTTTCGGAATAACTGTCATTTTCCTGACCTTGATTGTTGTCCATTAAACTTTTGAAAATCTCTTCATCCGTAGGATATGATGCAGTTAACAGTTCTGCGTCCACTTCTAAAATGTCGGAGAGAGTTGTGTCATCTGTTATTCTTCCATTCCCTTCTACTGTTTCTCTTCTACTGTCCCTTGATTGTTGTCCATTAAACTTTTGAAAATCTCTTCATCCGTAGGATATGATGCAGTTAACAGTTCTGCGTCCACTTCTAAAATGTCGGAGAGAGTTGTGTCATCTGTTATTCTTCCATTCCCTTCTACTGTTTTCCGTTTTTCTTTCAAGTCGTCCAAGATCGCATCTTCATCGTCGGAATCACTGTCATCTGTCTGATTACTGAAGCCTCCTCTTTGAAAGCAATTACGGATTGTTTTAGCAGTTGCATCAAATTTCCATCCTTTATAATTTTCTGTAATTACTTTTCGAAGATCGATTTTTTCTTGAACTGTTTCATTTTTTTCAATTGCGCAGATAACTTATTTCAAGATTCTTTTCCTTCAGTGCATTTTTAAATTTTTAATTATTCCGAGATCCAGGGGTTGCAAATTTTTGTGCAGTTAGGAGGAAAGAAAATGACACTAATATTTTTTTCTCCACAATCTTTTGAACGAATTGGATAACTCTCGATTAATTAAGCAATTTTACGGTGTTGTTGTCCCATTTGCTTGTCCAATGCTTTCAACCATCTGTCAAAAATTTTAGACCTCATCCACGATTTTTTGTTGAATTCGTATTTAACTTCTAAAGATTTTATTCCTTTGAAGCACCTTGGAGATTTACTTTTGCCAAAAACAAGCATCTTTAACCTTTCCTCGCCAGTCATGTTGGCACATAACAAAATTGGGAATCTTTGTTTGCTTTTCTTTCCTCCGAAACATCTGTCTCCTTTAAAAGCTTTGTGGGAAGACGTTATCGCTGGAATGAGCAATGCGAGTGGTTGCACGTGTGAGCGATTTGTTTGCGCAGAAATTAGCAACTTTCTTCAAAAATGACAAAAATCGAAAAGATGGAGACAACCACTTCGTTATATGAAGAATATTTTGAATATTTTTTAACATTACGATTAAAAATTTCGTTATAGAGAGAGATTCGCTGTAGGGAGACTTCGTTGTAGGGAGATTCTACTGTATGTTCATCTCAGGCTTAAACTGAAGAGATTAAAACAATTTCCAGCTTTTCCCTAATTAATTCCGAACCAACTACCTAAACACTGGGCTACTATACTTGAGACGGAAAGAAAACAAACTTTTAGATTTTGAAAGCTTTTTCCACCTCAGTTGGGGAGTATACATGAATGCGTACCTTCTCCTAAAGGTAATATGTACATATCACCTAATGAGAAACGCAAATAATCAATCCATTACCTATCGATTGATTACCATATTTGCAACACGGGCCAAAAGGAGTTTGGTAACGCATTCGTGAGATAGACGTGAACTACGCGTCCCTTCGTGTTGGGCACTTCCATGCGGGGGTCTGCCGGGACGTGATGCATCCCCTTTCCTGAGGCGTGAGTTCCGTCTACTTCGGCACGACTTTCGCATATCGTCTGATACCATCGGAAGTGCTCCCCCTGCCTTCGGGTCACTGACCAATCCGATCCTTGTTGGAGCACTTCCTCGCTACGGCCGTTCGAATCTACGGCCAGCATTGTTCCACGTTTTTTTCAACGCTCAAACGTGCAACCCGCTCCGTTCTTTTTTTCCATCGCCTTGTCTTACTCATCTCGTCTGAAAAAGGGAGGGGCAACCGAGTCGTGAAATCTTTGTTTGGGTCTTTTCTTTTCTGTGTAAACTCTTTTTTTAAGTTGGACGAAATTGGTTTCGTAACACGGCGGCGGTGTTTTTTATTTCATTCTTTCCCGTCGTGTGATTCTTAAGTAGCGAAGCGGTGTTTTTTAACCGCACTCACGACTTTCGGAGTTGTTTCAAACTCGAGTCGGCTGATAGGGGATGAAGGGCGTGTAAAAGCCGGATGAAGGAGTTATCGCTATAACGGGTGTAGTAGACGGCCTGTACACTACTATATTGCATGTGTCGGACATGCCACATTTCCGCGGAAAGGCGGATTTCAGCGTTTTTGCATCGGATTTTATCATTCTTAATTTTTACTTTCTCGTATACGAAGTCTACAAAGAAAAAGTATTGTAATCGTCAAAAAATTCGAACTCGAGATTTTGACGAATCTCCACGTTTCAGACCTCCCTGAGTCCGAAAAACACAATTTTGGCATGGTGTCTGTCTGTGTATCTGTGAACACGATAACTCGAAAACTATTAGAGCTACGGGGATGAAATTTGGTATGTAGTCTTTAAACATAATTTGTAGGTTTCTATCAAATTTTGGACAAAATCCGTCAACGGGAAGTCTGTCTGTTTGTATGTCCGCGGTCATTTTAACACTATAACACAAAAACTTGAATAGCTTGATGGATAAAATTTGGTACACAGTTTTATCGTCACGAATGTAGGCCCGTATATAATTCTGGGCCAAATCCGTCAAAGGGTTGACTGTCTGTCGGTCTGTATAATCGCATCTCCAACGGATCCGCTGTCTCCACGCGCATGCGTACATAACGCAATCTTCTGGGCACGATATTTATTCACTCCTGCTTGGCGCTTTTGGTTTCATCCGATTCTCCATGCGCATGCATACTGGTAGCAATCTGTGCACGCGGAAGGATTAAATGACTTTGTCCTTGAGCCGGCAAGAGTGGAAATCGGTGCGCATTTAATCGGAACACATCTCTTTGAATTTGATTCTTTACCTAAATATTTTCTGATGGTCATTGGATCCTGGGTTACAGTAGGTTCGAATTTTTTTTTTTTTTATCCACGCAGGGGGAGGGTAAACAGCACCTTTTTTGAGAAGTGTACGAGAAAGTTTAGGGGAGGCCACTCCGTCTGGTTTAGATAATAATTCTACAATATTTTTAATATATCAAATATTGTTTGTATAACTTTATTTATTTTATTGCTCAATTGATCATACTTATTTTACTTCTCATGGTTTTATGTTTCGCATAATTCTTTATCTGTGAAGTTCAGCTGTTTTTGTTCCAAGCCTGTGTCATGTATGATGTTTGTGTTTTATAATCAAGGCCGTACCGACAGGAGTGGCGTTATAGCCCACCAGATGGGGGGAAGGGTCCTCCCCACGGGGGGAGCATGACCTGTTGTGCAAGGGGAGAAATCTAATGAAGACCCTCTCAAATTTTCGCCAGAACTTTATTTATCTACTAGTTGAATAGCCCGTTGCATGAACGGGGTACAGTAATTTCTCCCACCCCCGGCGCCCCCCCCCCCCGCCACCCCGGCAGGGTGGCCAGATTTAACACCCGGGGTAAAAATGACATTTAACAAACGTACGGTTGTGTAAATAAAAAAAAGGAATTCTACAATACGATTTCTGTAGTTGATTAAAATTGTGGCAAATTAAAGACCTTTTAAAAAATGTGAACACTCGGTGATTTATTCACTGTAGTGATATACTGTTCAGCAACGGATTCCGAGACTACCACTTTTGGACGATTTTACACCGGAAAGGGGTGTCAGGCAATGAGTCATATGAACGCATTTCCGGAGTTCTTTGTTAGATCGTGCTCAGTAAAATGTGAACATCACCTTCCCATTCTTCAATTTCCTCCTATTTTGAAAATAATTCCGCCGGCGCATGCGCAAAAGCGCGGAGGGTTTCCGAATCCGTTGCTAATCAATACTTCTAGGTTTCAACTTACTGTGCAGCAACGGATTCTGAGACGACCACTTTCGGACGATTTTACACTGGAAAGGGGTGTGAGGCAATGAGTCACATGAGCGCATTTCCGGAGTTCTTTGTTAGATCACGCTCAGTAAAATGTGAACATCACCCTCCCATTCTTCACTTTCCCCCTATTTCGATGAAAATAACTCCGCCCGGCGCATGCGCAAAAGCGCAGAGGAGGAGTGGTGTTCCGAATACGTTGCTGAACAATATTTAATTTGATATGTACACTGAGACCGCGGTGGCCTAGTGGTAAGTTTGGGCTTCAATTCCGGAGGGTTCCAGGTTCGAAACCTGATTCCGGAAGCTTGGAGAGAGGTGCCAGCTCTTGAGTCGTCCTCGTCATCTGATCGCAGTTCAAAATTACGAGGTTCCTCCCAAAATCCCCCACGTGTTGCTTCAAAAAGGGACGTGAATTTAACTAAACTAAACTTACTTAAACTGAACCCCGGCTTCCATTAATTTAAGAGACGTAATTTGAGAAATGCGAATAAAAGGTATGCGTGTCCATTATTGACGTCAGTGTCTTTGTATTTAACCGCAGATATACACTCAAGAGGGGGAAATGAGACACTGATGGTTAGGCGGATGCAATATCGATTTGCTGAGGCGGAAATAGTTAAGTGTGCGCTTAAGAGTGAATGCAAAGTGAAACTATCTTTTCATCCATCCGGATACTATTTATCGGAAATTGTCAGATTTGGTAAACAGGAATGGCTGGGCTTGTGCAGCTGCCCAGCTTTTACTTCCTTTCCGTCAATCGATTTTCGCCCGTTCACTTTAACAAACATTCACAGAAGAAATGAACCGGTTCACTACTTTGCTGAGGTTTGCCAGATCTAAATAGCAAAATAAGACCAAACCTTAAAAATAAGGCCAAATTTGAGAAATTGATTGAAGACGTCAAAACATTCTTAAAATAAGGCTAAAAAAGGCCAAATTTGACAAATTGATTGAAGACGTCAAAACTTTCTTAAAATAAGGCCAAATTTAACAAATTGACTGAAGACGTCAAAACCTTCTTAAAATAAGCCCAAATTTGACAAATTGATTGAAGACGTCAAACCTTAATAAAACATCAAAGGCCAAATTTGACAAATTGATTGAGCGTTCAAAACCTTTAGCAAATAAAGGCCAAATTTGACAAATGGATTGAAGACGTCAAAACCTTCTTAAAAATAAGGGCAAAAAAAGGCCAAATTTGACAAATTGATTGAAGACGCCATTTGCTATTAGAAAAACAGCTATCCTTCATGAAAACGAATCCCACTTGATAGGCATATGTTCAATGTTCTATTATTAAACTAAAATTTAAGTGAAAAATTTAAAACATCCTTTTTCTATTCAGGAGCTATTTCATCTGACAGCTCATTATATATCATTTGAAATGTGTAATATCAAAAATTTGTTTAAGAACAATAGAATAAGTAATTATTCTAAAAGTCATTAACGAAAATAAAGCCAAAAATGAATTTAAGGCCAAATGAAAATTCCTAAGACCAAGGGCTTTGAAAAAGGCCAACTTTCCATAATTTGGCCTTAAAAAGCCCAATATGGCAACCCTACGTCATTCGGTGATTATCTCTTGTTGCAGAAAGTAATATGATTGTTTCAACAACTTGGAGACAATTCAACAATTGTTGTTGTTTTTTTCTTCCTATCTCAGCACATTAGGGAATTAAAAAAAAGTTGAAAATCGAAAAATGTTAATCGATGAGTTTTCCCTTTTTTCAAGAGTTAACCCTTTGCTACGCAAGGCATAAATTTTTTGAAATATGACGAAAAATCATCATGAATGGATTTAGTTTATTGTCGAGACTGAGAATCTACAAATTTTTTTTTAAAAAAACTTACCTCATTCTGAGTAGGGTCGTCCCCCTTTGGGGTCTCCCCCCCCCCCTCAGATACAGCCACCTTGATACACTCAGAAAAAATTGTTGAATCTTACAGAAAATCATATATTAAAACTTCAAGAATATTGGAGGAAAATTTTCGAGTTAATTTGCTAAAGTTGTAAACGTCCAGAACTGAAAAAATTCTTATCTCTGAGTTAAGTAATTTTTCCCAAACTTGATCTCTAATAGTTCCTATTCCGAAACGAAATTTCATAAGGCTTCAATACATTCTGAAAGGAGTACTTACCTCATTCCGAGGAGGGTCGTCCCCTTTGGGGTCACCCCCTTAGATACAGCCACCTTGATACACCCAGAAAATATTTTTGAATCTTACAGAAAATCATATATTAAAGCTTCAAGAATATTGGAGGAAAATTTTCGAGTTAATTTGCTAAAGTTGTAAAAGTCCAGAACTGAAAAAAATTCTTATCTCCGAGTTAAGCAATTTTTCCCAAACTTTATCTCTAACAGTTCCTATTCCGAAACGAAATTTCATAAGGTTTCAATACATTCTAAAAGGAGTACTTACCTCATTCCGAGGAGGGTCGTCCCCTTTGGGGTCTCCCCCCCTCAGATACAGCCACCTAGATACACCCAGAAAATATTGTTGAATCTTACAGAAAATCATATCTTAAAACTTCAAGAATATTGGAGGAAAATTTTCGAGTTAATTTGCTAAAGTTGTAAACGTCCAGAACTGAAAAAAATTCTTATCTCCGAGTTAAGCAATTTTTCCCAAACTTTATCTCTAACAGTTCCTATTCCGAAACGAAATTTCATGGGTTTCCATGCATTCTAAAAGTGCCACCTCCATTCCGGGGAGGGTCGTCCCCTTTTAGGTCTCCCCCCCTCAAAGATACAGCCATCTTGATACACTCCAGAAAATGTATTAATCTTACAGAAAAATCTATATAGTAAAACAAGAATATTGGAGGAAAATTTTTCGAGTTAATTTAGCTAAAGTTGTAAACGTTGTAATTTCCTTCCCGCAGAAGCTTAATTCCCATGAGGAAGAGTGCCGGCCCTTGATGTCGGCGGTAAACAGCGGAGGTTGCACCTGGACATCGTAACGAGACAGGCGCAGGAAAGGACTTCACACAGAGGAACCTTAATGTCGAGAATAAATCACTGTCAGCGCGCACATTAGCGGTACCTTTTGAGTGATTCCTGAATAGGCCAGTGGTGACCAGAAACTCAGAACCTTCCCAGAATAGAGGTGGACCACTAGGAAGGTGAGTTGTTGTCAATAAGTACATTATCAATGTAGGGAAGAGAGGTGGAGCTTCACCACTTCATCCACCCCTGAAGGGTAGACCGAAAACGTGTTCGGGAGAACAGGAGAGGAATTTTTTTGAGGAGTCTCGAACAGTTTCAGGCTCGGGTACCGCAGAAAGCTGTGTGATCAACTTAGTTAGAAAGTCCCCATTTGAAGTCGGACTTTGTTGGGTAACCCGAGGAATCGGCATCCCCGGACTCCTCAGCTCTTGAACTTGCGGGCACTCTTGGTAGATCTCATCAGTTTGGTATCCCGTGGATGAGTGGAAATTATCCATCGATAATTACTAGTCTTTCTGGACTAAATTCTCATGGAACTTTGACGTTTTAGAACTATAATTGTTGGTTTCCTTTGTAAATAGTCATATTTAATCAAGACTTCTCTGCGAAGTGTCTATAACCAATTAATGCTGTATGAAATAAAAGTGCCAAAATTATATAAGCTTGAATTATTTGGTCACCCAGGCCAAGACATTTACAACGTCCAGAACGAAAAAAATTCTTATCTCTGAGTTAAGTAATTTTTCCCAAACTTTTATCTCTAATGGTTTCCTATTCAAGAAACGAAATTTCGTAAGGCTTCAATACATTCTAAAAGGAGTACTATTAGCCCTATCCTAAACCTATTATTAAACTAAACCTATTATTAACTTACCTATTATTAAACTAACCCAAAATTTTAATTCACGTGCAAAAAATTTGGTAATTTTTGTCTTCTAAGAAATGATACGATTCATTTATTTCATTGCACTTGGAAAGAACTGATTGAACTACTATTTACCTGTGATTTGTGGAGTGGATTGTCGTCCCATTCACCTTGCGATGCAGCGTTCGTGCTGGTCATGCTTAGTTTAAGAGCCTGGTTGCTCTTCGAAATGCGTTTTTTATTCTTGAGCACTGAACTGTGTACATTCTGCAATTGCCAACGCTTCATTGGATCATTTTAGCTTTGGAAGCATTTCAATTGAAAGTAGTTTTTCGCTGTTCCTTTTTTCTTAAAAATGCAAATTTCAATTGAAATTTATGTTATGATGAAGGCAAGATAAATATTACACTTCTGGGAAAGCCATTAATATTTTTTTCAGATCTTTCTGAAAATTATAGTCAAGAACGCTTGGATCTACATTTTGGGTCAAAACCAAAAGTGCTAGAGCACATTTTCAGAGTAACATGTAAATATCGTATGATTTAGATTCAAAAACTGAAACATTACATAGAGGACTAATTTAATCGATTGATTTAGATTTGCAAATGGAGGATTGAGAGTTAAAATGAGCCAAGCCCATGAGCCAACATGTAAATATCGTATGATTTAGATTCAAAAACTGAAACAGTACATAGAGGACTAATTTAATCGATTGATTTAGATTTGCAAATGGAGGATTCAGAGTTAAATGAGCCATTACACATGAGCCAACATGTAAATATCATTGCCGTGATTCAAGAAGAACAGTACATAGAAGACTAATTTAATCGATTGATTTAGATTTGCAAATGGAGGATTCAGAGTTAAAATGAGCCAAGCCCATGAGCCAACATGTAAATATCGTATGATTCAAAAACCGAAACAGTACATAGAAGACTAATTTGTATCGATTGATTTAGATTTGCAAATGGAATTCAGGTAAAATAGACCAAGCCATGGAGCCCATGTAAATATCGTATGATTCAAAAGCAAACAAAGTACATAGGAGCTAATTTAATCGATTGATTTAGATTTGCAAATGGAGGATTCAGGTTTAAAATGAGCCCATGAGCCAACATGTAAATATCGTATAATTCAAAAACCGAAACAGTACATAGAAGACTAATTTAATCGGTTTAGATTTGCAAATGGAGGATTCCAGGGCAAATGAGCCAAGCCATGACCCGGCGTATGAAGTATCATATATAATTCCAAAGAAGCGAAACAGTACGAAGACTAATTTAATCGATTGTTTAGATTTGCAAATGGAGGATTCAAGTTAAAATAGACCAAAGCCGCGAACCAACATAAATATCGTATAATTCAAAAACCGAAACAGTACATAGAAGACTAATTTAATCGATTGATTTAGATTTGCAAATGGGTGATTCTGAGTTAAAATGAGCCAAGCCCATGAGCCAACATGTAAATATCGTATGATTCAAAAACTG